TAAATTTTTTTTTGACCCCTCTCCCGATGATGAGCTTCCGGGATGGAAGCTGCAGCTGAGCGAAGTTCAGCAGCAAGTTGGAGGTGTCGAGGAAAACCACTGCGGTAAACCCGATCCAAAGAGCTGCCGCCCAGGTGCTGTCGCCAGAGTTCCTGCAAACGGAATACTGTGAGTCTGCCAGAACGCCCAGACAAGAGGATTCACTCCTGAAGTCTTCACGCTTCTGTCGAAAAGAAGCAAGGCCGCCGACCCAAAAGCCGCTGACACCAAATCCGAATCTGAACTCAGCTACCGAACCTTCGTTTGAGTAGCAAGGCTGTGGCTTGGAGTTCTACGCTCGCCGAGCTGGCGGCAGAGGCATTGATTTGGCACACAACCGTCAGTCGAAACACCCGGCAATCTTGAGCCCTACACTTAACACCACCCGACGAGCCCATCATCAGCTTGTTCGGAGAGGCACTCATAGATACTACACTAAAGCCTTCTTCTCAGCTTGAGAACCTTTTAAACATGCTCAACACGTCGCCCATTGTGCACAATTCCAGACCTAGACATAAACTCCAAACCTCAAAACGTAAACCTGCAATACTGACCCGCAAAACTCTTCGCTCCAGTTGCCTTCCTTCGTCTAGAGCTCAAATGCAACGGAGGGGCTGCCACCACACTAGCAGGGACACCAGCTGGGCGAAAGTGCTCCAGACGTCAATGAAGTACCTCGGGATGGCATGAGCTGCCGTGTAAGCTGCGAGGCTTCTATCTGCGTGAGTGAACATTCAAGGCCCAGCTGCGCTGGCTCCAAGACAGTCCATACATACAGCGCAATCGCTCTGAACACGGCACTGTCCTTGAACACCGAGACGAGCTGGTCCTGAGGAAGCGCGTTCATGGCCTGCAGGATGCTGATGTTGATGATGTTCCTTGTTTCTTCGCGTCTCAACGCACCACTTCGGATAAACAGCAAAATGTTTGACGGCCCCCTTTCCCAGAAAAAGGCTGGCAAGAGACGGCGTCCGAAGCACTGAGATATTGCAGAAGAGGGCTTGGCGCTGATCCGGCAGCACAATGCTTTGGGCAACTTCCCAGAATGTGCGGAAAAAACCGCAAATGTGCATGCTTTCCTTCACCATCAAAACATCACGTAGAGTCTTCTGATTGGTTGGTGGCGGCGCAAGCTCATCAGCAAACGGTGTGGCGTTGTTCCAGACCATCGTGTCCACATAAGCATTGTAGTGCTGCTCATGCTTCTGGAAAAGGCACGAGGCTCTCAGCGGGTAGCGGCGATGATCACTCACCTTGGGCTGTGCGAGGCTCTCGTCGCACAGCTTCGCAGCTGCTGCTGGAGCCCTTGCAATCAAATCAGAAAGCATTTGCATGAAGTCGCAATAGTCTTTAGAACCAGGACTGTGACATGCCCGGTCGATGGCATCTAAAAACTTTCTCCTTGATTCATCGTCTCGTAGGATTTCCTGCACCAGAATCTCGATTCTCATGCCGCTTGTTTGCTGAAGCACACTGCCGTTCGCCATGTTCTGAGCCTGCCTATCCGCCACGTGCCGGGCGAGCGGTCGGGCATTCTCCACCAGGAAGGAGGCCAGCTCGTTCGGACAGTCACCCAACTGGGCTCCCAGAGAGATCAGTTTGCTCACAAGTCGGTTTCCCAAGGTCGTAGCTGCCAGTGCCAGCACGTTGCAGCCTGCAGCCTCTTGGTTCACAGTCAAGGGGGAAGAGTCTGGATACCATCCGAAACTGTCCACATCCAGCGGGAAGTCCGGCTCCATGCCGTCCTTCGCCTCCCTCCCCTTCAGCAGCTCCTCTATCATTTTCTCTTGGCCCCGCCAAACTGCAATCCAAAGCGGATTTCCGGAAGGGAAAAAAATTTTGGACACTCGGTCGGGTAACGTCTGCCTGACACTCCAAAAGGAACGAAACCGTCTCCTTGCTGTGGCCCGCCAAGCAGAGGATGGGAAACTGGCCCAGTCCGCAGTGGGCACCGATGGGAAACATCGTGTAACGGGCATTGGCGTGGGCCCCGCAATGCAGCAGCGCTTGGATGCGGCTGCGGTGGTCCTTGGCGACCAGCTGGTCGAACTCGTCTTGTTCACTTTGCTCTAGAAGGAACATGAGGACAGGACCACACAGAAGTTTGTTCTTCTTCGCAGACCTGTAAGCCACCGGAGCATTTAGTGATGCTTTCAGCAGCTCGCTGCCCGCCGCATGCCTTACCTTGTCCAAAGTCTGCTGCAGTCCTTTGTCCCTTCTCTTCACTGCCTTCCAGACCCCCGCCGCAAGGCCAAGGAGCAATGGTGGGGTTGTTTGTTGCTCAACCGACAGGTAGCCATCTTCACCGTTGAGCTTTGGAAATCCCGCCATGGGGGCTTCTGGCGAAAAAAGGTGTGAAAGCTCCATGTCTCGCAGCCTCTCCTGGCTACCATCTCTGACAAGTGTCAAGACAGCGTCGATGACCAGCTCTGTTAGAAACTCTACCATCGCATCTGCCCCGTGCTTCGCCCACAAGGAGCCTGTTGCGGGATGATTGAAGCTGTCCCCTGCTTTCTGTCGTGCCTCCATGAAACACCGTATAAAACGCTCTCTCCAGTACTGCTTTGCTTCGCTCAAACCCATCTCTGACGAGGGCAGGTGAAAATCAGGCTTGCAGTGGTCACGGATGTCGCTGCCACAGTGCAAATCCACGGACCGCACACATGGCCACCGTGCGTCACCAGTCAGCTCCACGTGCACCTTGAAACTTGGAAGGCCTTTGAACTTGAACACCACGGGCTCTCCGATCTGATCCTCCTGGACTGGAAAAAAAAACAAGAATACTTCGGCACGCTGAAATATGCATTCCCAACTTAAACTGACCTGTTCTCTCGAGTCTTGCACCGGCCTTGTCATCGCTCTGCTTCGAGCATTTCTCCTTCCAAGGCTTGCAGAGCGACATGCGTCCGAGGCAACAAAACCACACCTCCACTATTATATTGCATCTGCGACATATAGACGGACGTGTTCGCTCAAGTCTTCCGCCGGCCTTGTCATCGCTCAGCTTCGAAAATTTCTCCTTCCAAAGCTTGCAAAGTGGCAAACACCCTGTCCAAACCCGCACAATCCCCCTTGCATGTAAGTCCGCCTTGGTCAGCGAAGGGAGCAATGAGAGGAGGCCCAGCTCCTCGACCACACGGCTCAAGAGACGCGGCCTGGATGGAGCAACAAAAGCGAGTTGTAACAGGAACAAAGCGGTAGCATGGATGATCATGGCAGTAGTGGGAGCAGCAGCAGTAGCAGGAGCAGGAGCAGCAGAAGGAGCAGCGGCATCAGAAGCGACAGCAGCAGCAGCAGCAGCAGCAGTAGTGGCAATACTTTCTGCTGTGCTGTAGCATTCGCGGCAACAGCATCAGTTGCAGTAGTAGTCAATATCTTCATCGATGCCGCCGTCGTGGTGGTGACGCCGGTCGTAGCAACACGGAGGAAACCAATGTTTGCAACCTAAATCATACTCGGAAGAAGCACGATCAGTCTCCTGCTGATGTGACGAAGCCATTTGTGCAAACTACCCTCATGCATGTATCAGTGTCACACACACACACACAAACAAATTGCAAAAAGTCTGAGTTGCCGCATAAGAAACCAGAATGGCAGCTCTAGCAGTTGCAGCAGTAGCTGCAACGAAACCATCACTGCAGCATGATGATGCCAATATCAACCAAATCAGCAAAGAACAACAAATATGCAACGGGAATGACAACAGCGGCAATATTGACGACGATGTCTGCTGCGTACGATCTTCCTCCTGTCTCCTTCTTGGAGCATCGTGTCATAGTGATACATGTCACCGGGCTATTCACTACTCTGCACGCCTGTCGAGGCCAAGAGGGCGAAGCCACTCTACCAGCGGCAGATTCAGTCGCAGCTCCTTATCTTTCCAACAACAATACGGTGTTTGTCAAGAACAACAACGATCAATGATCGTATCGGTGTTCATGCCAACATAGTGTTCGTGTCCTATGCTACCACTAATGCGTGACTAGAGAATTGTGGCTTGCTTCATCATTTCGATGGGGGTTGTGGGACTGCACATGTCACAACGGCACTGGACGCTTCAAGCTGGAAGCACTACGTCCGCCAATTGCACTCATCTTCGGGGTAAAACCGATTCCCAGACCAACTCCTGCCAACCAAGCGTCCACGTCTGACTCAACACTGCCTTCCTGATTCTGCAGTTGTGCTGGCACTTCCTGCAAAACACGCTGATTCTTCACTTAGAGGCCACACAGTGGGCCACAGCACGTGCAAACAATTGAGCAGTTTCCGCTGTGCTCAAACTGCAGTCAAGCACATGAAAAGGACACAACGACTTGGGTCGTTCAAACCGCATGCTGCCAACTGCCTGCTTTGACAAGCGTTTCTTGTTCTTGGCCCTCATCGAAATCGGCACACACCATGGCACCGATTCTTCTAATGCTAAATCAGTCGTTTGAAGGTTTCCAAAGGAACTGCACATGTCCTGCTTTGTTCTCTTGGAAACTAATCTTGAGGTTACGGATGTTTGTAGACTGTGCTGTGTTGATCAATAGTAGTGCTACAAGATTCTGTCAGCTGGAAGACAAAGCACCAAGCTGTGTTGTGCCGCGGACGTTGTACGAAAAAAAGTACTCAATGTTCCTGTGCGAACGCACAAAATGTTGCCTCGCAGATAAAGCAACGATATGCTTTCATTCGCTTTTTCATCTGCATATTGACATCGGTTGCGTGCTTAACCTTGTTTCTTCCACTGTACAATCAAAACCCACCCATGCACAGCATTTTATTGACAAAATAACCAGGTTACATGAACGCTTGAACGCAGACGAACTGGTCTCTCAACAGGTCAGTAAGACATTAACGAAGACATTTGTCAAATACCACAAGCACATTGCGAAAGAAGATACAACTCAAAAAAACTCAACACTGAAAAGGTTTCGGTGGCATTTGGCATGACGGCCACAAAGAATAAAGCACTTTTCCCTTTTTTCTTTTGCTGCAAGTCGAAACGGGCAATGCCAGAACTTGAAAGTCCAGAAAACTTGCATCAGCGATCTGAGGTTAGGGTTCTAGTGCGAATGTTTGTTTGTTTGCACACATCAAGGTTCTTGTTTGCTTCTCAAGCTTCTTCGAGAAGCCTCCCTTCCAGCTTTTCCCGAACTATGGAGCATGCGCCGAAAAGAATTTTCAAACAGCTTCCCAAAGGGAGCTTCAAGAGACTTCTCAATGAAAGACAAACTCTTCACGCACAAGAAGCCACGTTGAATCGCAAGTCTTCCATATCGAGTCGAGTTGACGGAGAAAGATTTTGTTGCCGCAAACTTTAAACAGTGAAGTTTGCGCAAAACCTTATGTTTTGTACAGGTTTCTTCCAAAACAGCAAGGAGAAACAGGAACACTGAAAGCAAGGATAAACCTGACTTTGAGTGTCAAAATAGCAGATCAACTGAAAGGATTCGGGTTCTAAACAACCACGTTCTGGATTAGAGTTCATCCAACAAACCAGAATAGAGTTACCTTGAGAGGAGGCAACCATGCAGAGTGTCTTTCTGTGGAGTTTGGTCGGTTCAGCTTGCAGCCTGGAGAATTGTGCTATTTCAGTTTGGCGAGCAATAACTGAACTTGACTGCTACAAGCAAAGTGATCAACTGGAATAGTTGGCTGCAAAATTGACTTCCACAATCTCATCTTTAAATGTTTTGCTGTGAATCTTGAAGCAGCAGAATTAAGATCTTTTGCGTTCCGAGCATTTCCTGCGTCTACGAGCAGAACACAACTCTGACCTGCAAGTGTTTCAAAAGAAAAAGGTTTTCTGCCCGTGCAACGTTTTGAAAGAATGCAACACTTGAGGGCCGCCTCGATGAAGCCGAAATCGCTGCAAACTTCGGTCTCCAAAAGAGGTGCCAGGGCTGAGTCTTTTTGGTCAGCCTTCTGGTCCTTTAGTCTTTCCATCCGTGCTCGCAAAAGCTTCTCAAGACTCTATCTTTCACACTGTCCAATACTGGGA